TGAGGTCCTTTAAATGCCCCTAGCGAGCTCCTAACGGATATAACATAGCACTTTTGCACTGTTTGCAGAAAAAGATTACTACTGCCCCAGAAAGAACTGTTTTTCCCGCTCAGTACCAGCAGAATGGTGAGCAAAAAGCTTTGACTGAAAAGAATCTCTCCCAACGAAAATTATATTGTGGATTGCAAGACCTCTGACTAAACAATTGAAAAGTAAAACGTACGTGCGCCGACTTCAGACTGGGGGAGAACAACTTGATTACCAGTGGACATACTTCGGATTTCAACAGATCGCAAAATTCCGGATGCTAAAATACGAGAGTTTAAGACCGAAAATGTGAAATCATTCCTTAGAAAAGGGAGATAAAAGAGCAATGAGCCACTCACCCGAAAGAACACTCCTGGATAACTTTTCAAAATATTCTCGATAAGCTCTAGCCCAAGAGTCCTTGTCATTTCATGGATCCCTACTAGCCACACACTCGGTTTCGCATTAATCAGCAAGCATAGATCCTGAGAACTCAGAAATCACCAGTAAAACATCATAATTTTCTAATTTAAATACCTTGAACAACAAGTAGGCGTCGGCAGCACATGGTCGTAGTGTCGGAGGTGCAGATCTCGGTGATGGACGTCCTCCAGAAGACGGTACTACAGTTAGCTCTGTGCTGAAAACTCCATCCTCCTAAATCAATATTAAGTAGACAATCTTGATCAGCAGCGCGAACATGCAGTAAAAAACACATAGGTCGTGAGTTTCAAATGCCTTAAATTCACCTGTATAACACGCTCGAACACACATCCCACTAACTGTCGTACTGCCGCTGAAGCAGCATTGATAACTACAGGGTCCTTAGCGAAGTGCATACGAAAACACATAACGATGCACTGAAAATATAACTGAACAGCTGAAATAGTACTGACCAAACGCGTAAAATTTAACGGATGCAAAAAAAAAAAACGAAAAAAACTGAATTCCAAACAGTTTATGAAAGTTGCAACTCTACCTTAAGAGGGAATTTCTATGTATACAGTGGAAAAACGTTTACATAAGAAAAAGTCGGCACTCTAACGCCTTATCGCAACTCTTCTTGACATTCAGGCTTGTATCCTATCGGTTTGTTTTCCGCACGGTGATAGCTAGAAGGCCAGCAGAGGGACGTGGAAGGGTTATTTTGCACTTCCGCTGGCATCCTATTGTCCTGTTCATTGATTTTTGACAAGTAGTTTCCACAAATCTTGACTTTTACTACCTCGAAGCTTCACCAGGTTTCAGAAATCTCTATTTGATGGCTCGACAGGAGAAGGGGAAGCAGCGAAAATGCAAAAGGCCCCCCTGTCGGCGAACTGTGCCGAAATTTGCGCGATGGTAATTCGGCTCCACGAATACAAACCTCGCCTCCACTTGGCGTGAAAACTTCTAGCGCTCCTGCTGAGCAAGAGGCCTCAGACCATCAGTTCGCTGACAATTTCCTCCCAATGAAAGTTTGACTTTCTGGCTTTATGAAGTTCCGGAGATGTAGCTTACACACAAACTTAGACAAGAATGCAGTGGATAAACGAAAAACGGCGCCTTGCTCCAGTGATAGTCCTACAGAGAAAAAAACTTCAAATAGGGAGCAATGGAGTTTTCCCCATTATTTCCCGGTTAACCAGGCCACAATCCTAATAGAGTAAATAGCCAATTTTCCTGGTGTAAAACCCCTTCTGTGCAAGGTAGGATACACGCGCGCGAACTTTGGAAGTAATCAAAGAACAGAGCTATTGTTGCCTCTTTTTCCATATTCTAATCGCCTAATTAGTTTCAAACACTTCATGGGATATTACTACCCCCCCCCTTTGTCATCGCATTTGTTTAGCGTGTTGGAACAAGTGCTCATAAAACGTTGGGTATCTAAAGACATTGAAACGACTACTGCTAAATCCGTTAGCAATCTCAGAACATGGAGCTAGCAACCCGAAATTAGTCGCAATGTAATAATATGAAGAAGAAAGCAATTTTTTTCGCGAAAAACCTTAACGGCGAGTGCGCCTTATACACGAATGAGCCTACCCAGAAAACAGAGAACATTCACACTCGTGTCATACCTCTAAAAAAAGTAACAGATTCAACAAACCTTCGCAAGAGTGTTTCCAGTAACAAGAAGATCAGCCGACACCAGTGGAGGCACGGTCTGCAGAACCCGAAGCTCTTCACACTCCACTTCGACTAGACCCCATAATTCGCTGACTACTACGTTTGCACAGCTCTAAATTATGGACAACTTGTCATTGGCTACAACTGGGGCAACAAAACTGGCTACTTCTCGATTGTGTAGAGATGAAGACTATACATTGACTCACCGCCTCCAGAATACGATGTTGAACTAGTCGTTGTATGCTTTGCAAGGCGATTTGAACAAGTCGAGTTTGTCGAGTAGCACAGGCGAGAATGAGCGGATGAAGCAATTCATTGCTAGCCGCTCGCAAATTGGTGAGAAGCGTTGCCTCGGCTGACGCGGTGCTGATATTTCGGACTCGAACAACGCCCGACTCTGCTGCCTGAATCATTGCAGCTTTCCAATAAAACAAATTATGGCTCTCTCAAGGCTGATGTGCTCTTGTATCTCTTAGGATTATCCAAGCTTTTAATTGTGGAGCTCTTTTATGGTTTCCTGGATATTTCAGGGTATCACGTACCACACTAGTAAAATTCAAATTTTTTATGCGATCACCACGTGAAGTTCAATTTTCTTATGCGATATGTCGAAAAGGAAGGAAACATTATTCGGGAGGGGTCATGAAAGTCGTTCCAGCTAACAATACCATTCGTAGTGCCTAGGAGGAGCAGTGGTTCACTTCCCACTAGGCTCAGCCTTTGGCATTGTTCACAGTGTGCGACTCTGACAAATCGAAGGCTGGGCGAAAAGCGATAAGTATGTATCTCGGAGAATCGTCAGCGCTCTGAGAATTGCATTCGCGGGGCGGTGTTTGGAGGAAATAATTGGTGTATCCATGCGGTATTACATTGTCGCGACTTCCGCCCGAAAAAAGATTCCCGGGACGGTCGAGCTGAGGTTTTGCGAAGAACTGCTCCGCGGAAAGGCCCGCCGATACCTATCTAGACCGTGTCGCCCAACCGACCGACTCTTCGCCGATCCACTGGTCGTTACGTGTCGGAGCTTTTCGAGGAAGCGTTTCTTTCGCGAAAAACGCAGGTTCGCAGACTGTGAACAATGTATTGGCAGAGTGCAGATAATCACAGTGCCCTATCGAAGCGCTGACGCCGACAATGAACGACAGATTCGTTATCAGGATGCCAATTAATAATGCAAATCAAAACGATTTTCGGTGGAAAATTGGTGGCGACGAATGCGGACAGCATCAAAAATGGATCCCATGTTTGCAATTAGGACACTCAGGAACCTCTACAGGCACAGATTCACCGATCCTAATAGTGGAGCAGCGCTGATTCTTTTCTTTCAGCAAGACTAGAACAAAGAGAGAATAACAACAAACGAAGGCAAACTAGTCTTACAAAATACCCTTTTCTGCTGCTCGATCACTTACCTCCTTTACATGATTATGCTTCTTTTTTGCTTCCGTGGAAAGTTGTCGCAGATCGCTGAGGAGTGCTTCAACAAGCTTTCGCACATCCGGTGGTGACAGCACCGACATTACGACATAAGCACTTCTATATAAAAACATCACGTTTAACAACCAAGCAAAACTATTGATCAGTGAATTTCTAAGTAGTTCCAGTCGATAATCGATTAGTGGTCAGTATCAGTCAATCAGGAAATGAAACCTTCATTGGTGTGCATATTATACGGAGAAAGTTGACAGCTTATGAGATCAGATCAATTACGTTGGAAGAGATATAACGTTATCTCTATTACTAGCACTAGGGGCTATCGACTAGGGATCGTATTAAACACGCAATAGACA